GATTTTTATCCCCCCTCCCCTTAATAAAAAAGGAGATCGCTTGTCGATTCCTCTTCTCTTAGAGAGAGAGGGAGAGACTTGCTTATTTAGTCAATCTAAGTATAAATGAAGTATAAAAATGGATGGGAAAAAAAAAATGACGATCGTCGTAAAGATACATACGTCGTAATAATGAGTTCTTCGGGTATAATAAATGCACACGTTATTACCTTACGCCTTATTAGAGGATTTAAATTACAAGTAAACGCGTTAGTTTAACATGATTTCGAGCCGTTAAGCTGGCTGTTTACAATTTGCAATTTTTATCCGTAAAGTTATTGCTCTTTTGTGTGACAAAGGGGAAACAAAGAAAGGAGGAATGGAAGAAAAAGAAGTGAAGGGAAAAGGGGAGGGACTGTGCTCGCCTGTATCGGGTCGTCTGTTCTAGTTACACGTACGGGTATAATATAACGTCGGCAAGTTTGCAATCAGACAACATTTGCATGCAGTCATTTACATCTTGTCCGGCACCGTGTTCTTCATCTTTTATGCATTTCCAATTTGCATCCGAAGAAACTGTGTCCACGAGCTCAATTACTGTCACTGGAATCGTCTTCTTCTTCTTCTTATTCTTCCACCACGAATTATCCTTGCTTGAACGCTCGTTCGTCCCTCGCTCCCTATTGAAAAATCGCTAAAACATTGAATGTAAAATTACACGACGAGCCATCGTGTTGTCACGACACCTGTCCACCTTTTTCTCACCTGTCGATCCCAGGATTTTTAACACACATAGTTGCAGAGCCCAATGAGATCCCATCTGTCCTTTAAGATTAAGGTAAGATTAAATTTACGAATTTTCTTTTCATCGTTTAAATTTTCAATATCGTACGAATACATTCTTTTCTTTTTTTACAATTTTATTCTCGTCTTAAATTCACTTTCACCATAATTCAAATTTTCTTAAAAGATCAATTTCTAGATAGAAAGGAGAAAGGATGATGGAAAAAGTAAGTTCCCTTTCGTAATATCATATCATAAAGAGTAATAATTAATTGAAAAGAATATTAACGGATCATTTACCCTATCATAGATAAAAGTATATAAATATTGATAATAAATCGATTCCCTCTCGAAATGAAATTCAAAGAATGATTTAATAACGATTTCTTAGTGCACGTTTTCCACTCGTGGATTTATTAACGGATGACTCAGTTTGTAATAACGAGCAGTTTGCCTCGACGATGTTAAGATATCGAAGGCGACTCTTCGATCGTGCTCCAATTACTAATTGCAGGTTTCACGCAATTGGTTAGTCATCCCTCGTCCCCTTCCCTCTCGAGGAAGAAAGCCTCGAAGAACGCATCTTCCTCCTCGCACGATCCGATAAAACAAACGGTTTGATAAGATAAATAACCGGATCGTTTGATCGTTTCGATCGAGGCTCGATTGAAATTGAGAGTTACGAAATGAAGAGAGAGAGAGAGAGAGAAAAAGAAAAGGAGTTTTTCGAGATTGCAGACGATGTTCGAGGGTCTATTTTCTATATAATCGAAGAGCAATCGTGTTTTTTAATTACCGTGAGAACGATGGTGGTGTGGCATTTCATTTCCTCGATCGATCCAATTTGAAAGATTTTCGAGAGAGATTCTATGTTAAGTACCTTTGCATTCTTTAATTTTTTTTTTTTAACGACAACTGCTTAATTCATTTACAAAAAGGATCTAAAAAGAGGATGTCAATAAAATATTGTGTAAAGTATTTGAAAGAAAAAAAAAAGAAAACGTTTTAAATTATTTTAAAAGTTGCGTTGTATAATATCGACACCTTGATATAGGAGTCATAAGGGTTAACGATAATTGTTAATGAATTGTGAATAAATTTATTATGCGCCTAATATCGATTTTTAAAGATGTTCGTTTAAAGAGATCTCGAGATATCGAGTTCGAAACGAAATGCCATTTTTAATAGCTTTCAATTTTTGAAAAAAATATTGATTATTAAAGTGATCTAGTTTGAAATTAATTTATGAGAGAAGCATTTCACTTCCTTCTTTCGAAGGAGCGAATCGATCGGTAAACACGCGTGAAATTGTTACATGCTGATTTTAAGAACACTTCCTCCGTTCACCTGAAACCGTTTGTGAGAGCATGAGGGCGGTGCTCGGCTAATCGTAGGTTGTGCACGTCGAATAACGGAAAAATGCTTCTATCTGTCGGAGAGAGCGCTCCATTTTTGCACATTTGTGTATCTGTGCATACTGTGGATAGAAAGTTTGGGAACGAAATAGTTTCGAAAGAAAACTATTAAACACATTGCAAAATGTATTTTTTTTAAAGTAAAAATAACGACAAATGGAAAAAATTTACGTTAATTAAACTATTTTCTAAGTGAAAAAATAATCGAAATAGTAATATCATTTAAAATTCATTTGCATATACTTTCAATTCATCAGTATTATCAAAAAAAAAAAAAAAAAAAAAAAAAAAAAA